AAAAAAGATCCCGCATGTCGAACTCCTAACTCCTCACCTTCTTGGAATCTTAAATTCTTAATATGTCTTGATATGCAAACCGCATAATCATATCAGAAGAACTAAATAAATCACTCAAATGCCTTATACTTTTACATTCAAAAGTACATTTCAAGCCGGTCCTAAATTTTTAGGGTCCATGGCTAATGTAAAATTAGGCCCCTATGTATATAATTTTTTTTCACTTAAGTGCTAGACTCATTCTCATTTTAAAATCAAGATTTAACTTATTCGAATTAACTAAAAATTTAACATTAAAGACAAATAAATTATATGAATTCAAACTTCAATATATAAAAGTCTAAAATAAGAGGATACGCTTGATACATTCAAATCTAATGCATAAACAAGATAAATGCTTGTAACAATTCAATCATTTTATTTTCTTTTTTGACTTCCAAATTGTTGTTTTTTCAGGAATCATTGCTACTTGAAATCAGAAACAGTACAAGAAAATTCAATGAGATTTTAATACTTCAAATAATAAACGAAGAACAACATAAATGGATAGTGTTTGGACATTCCTCCTTACAGACAAATTAAAGTTTTATATATAAGTAAAAATAACTCATTAAAATTACAAAAGTCATACAAACTATGATTTGTTTGTAAGGAGAAATAACTCCTTATATGTAAAGAGTCAAGTATTTTTTACTTTTAATTGAATGCAAACTAAGAACTGTTCTTTTTGGTCAGTTTAGCATCTATCAATGTATCTTTTCCGAGTAGCATCCATTGATCATGCATGACGAGTGACGTGCACTTGTCTCCTGGTCGGCAATCAAGTCAAGCCGCCCAGGTCCAAGTCCAATTCGACAAGTAGTTATTTCAGGACCACGTCATTGCTCACAGGTCTTGGTGATGCTTGCTCACACAGTATCAACCCCTTTCCTCATGTTGGCTGCCATTTTTTTTTCTCTCTCTTACGGCCTGCAACTAATGGTCAATTTCGCAGAAAGGAAAAAAAAAGTCGTAATGGAAAAAGCAACTAATCCGATAAAAACTTTATATCTTCAAGGAGAAGAATACACAAAAAGTTCTGTTATATTTACTTGACTATCTATTTTCTTCACTCCTTCCCCATCTTTAAATGAACGAAACATCAACATTCCCCTCCCTCTTCCCAATCTATTTCTGAACCTCATAGGACTGCAGTTGGAATGGTACTTTCTCTTGAGCAATTTTTCTCTTTTTCCCTTTCAACTGAAATAATGATTACTGAAGTGAAATTTTCCTGTCCTTTTCAATATCATGTGAGCAGTAGTATTATTTGAAGTCTTTATATCAGTTCAATTTAAGTTTGAATAGACAATTCGAAATTGAAGTCTTCTCTTTATTAAAGATCTTGTCCTTTCGATAGTTCATACATATGTATGCTCATCATGGGCAGAAGGTAGGTCCACCACCACTGCACGTAGTTAGGTCATCATAAGCATAGCTGTAAGCGTCGGGGCATGTTGACCATATGTAGGTAAATGTCACCATAACAGTGACCTGGGCAGGAAGTAATGACGTAGTTAGGTCCAGCACTGCACGTACATAAACCCATAAGCATAGCTGTAAGCGTCGGGGCATGCTTGATGGAATATCTCAGAGTACTTTGTCGGTGGGCATGTCTCTGCAGTATTTTGACGCGGAGTGCAACAGTACTGCGGCTGATTGAATTTAGCACATGCCCTCAAGCAGGCAGCCACGCTCCCATCAGACCCTTTCTTTTGCAGCTCACTCGGACAAACTGCCACTAGTAAACAATAACCCTTGCGCTACCAAATTTTGCACGACGAAAAATTATTCGTCGCTCAAAGTCACTTTGCGTAACGAAACTTAAAACTTCGTTGCTCAAAACTTTGAGCGACAAAAAACAATTCGTCGCGCAAAGCGACTTTGCGCGACGACAATACATCGTCGCTCAAAGTGACTTTGAGCGACAAAACAATAAACTTCGTCGCGCAAAGTCCTTATAAAAATAAATAATAATAAAAATTCTTTTTTAAAATCTTTGCATGGCGTAAACCAAACATTTCGTCACCTAAACCAATTTGTTTTTGTTTTTTATTTTGTATGCATAACACTTAAGAAATTAAACGGTATATATATTTTTATTAAGTAGCTTTAAATTTATTATTTTAGATCGGATCGGATTTTTATTAGAAAAATATATTATTGTTGTTCGAATTGGGTTTTTGTTAGAAAATATATTTTTTAAATTGACGATCGAATTAGTTCATTGTGTTCATATAGGGTCAAGGAGTGTAGCTGTAAAAAAATCATCAAAATCGGAGTTAAAATAACTGTTAAATCGTGATTTTTCATTTATAACCGTCGAAAAGTTTTGTCCCATTACTTGATCTCTAAATGTTTATTTTTTCCGATTTTTGGCATATATGATTTCGAAGTATAAACAAACAAGTTTGACAGTTGGATCGTTGAAAGTAGTTTTGTTGAATGCATATGCCATCAAAACAATATATTCACTAACAATTAGGAGTTTATTTATACTTTCGTTAAATATAACATAAGATTTTGTGGTATCCACTAGTGTAAATATTTTAAATTGAAGATCAAATTCAGTAATTGTATTCATATAGGGTCAAGGAGTGTAGCTGTAAAAAATCATCAAAATCGGAGTTAAAATAACCATTAAATCATGATTTTTTGTTTATAACCGTCGAAAAGTTTTGTCCCGTTACTTGATCTCTGAATGTTTAATTTTTTTTATTTTTGGCGTATATGATCTCGAAGTATAAACAAACAAGTTTAACGGTTGGATCGTTCAAACTAGTTTCGTAGAATGCTTATGCCATCAAAACAATATATTCACTAACAATTAAGAGTTTATTTATACTTTCGTTAAATATAATATAAGATTTTGTGGTATCCACTAGTGTAAATATTTTAAATTGAAGATCAAATTCAGTCATTGTATTCATATAGGGTAAAAGAGTGTAGCGGTAAAAAATCATCAAAATCGGAGTTAAAATAACCGTTAAATCATTAGTTTTCATTTATAACCGTCGAAAAGTTTTGTCCATTTACTTGATCTCTGAATGTTTATTTTTTCCGATTTTTGGCATTTATGATCTCAAAGTATAAACAAACAAGTTTGACGGTTGGATCTTTGAAACTAGTTTCATAGAATGCATATGCCATCAAAACAATATATTCACTAACAATTAAGAGTTTATTTATACTTTTGTTAAATATAACATAAGATTTTTTGGTATCCACTAGTGTAAATATTTTAAATTGACGATCGAATTAGTTCATTGTATTCATATAGGGTCAAGGAGTGTAGCTGTAAAAAAATCATCAAAATCGGAGTTAAAATAACTGTTAAATCGTGATTTTTCATTTATAACCATTGAAATTTTTTGTCTTGTTACTTGATCTTTGAATGTTTATTTTTTCCGATTTTTGGCGTATATGATCTCGAAGTATAAACAAATAAGTTTGACGGTTGAATCGTTGAAACTAGTTTTGTTGAATGAGTATGCCATCAAAACAATATATTCACTAACAATTAGGAGTTTATTTATACTTTTGTTAAATATAACATAAGATTTTGTGGTATCCACTGGTGTAAATATTTTAAATTGACGATCGAATTAGTTCATTGTATTCATATAGGGTCAAGGAGCGTAGCTATAAAAAATCATCAAAATCGGAGTTAAAATAGCCGTTAAATCGTGATTTTTCATTTATAACAGTTGAAATTTTTTGTCCCGTTATTACTAGGTCTCTGAATGTTTGTTTTTTGCGATTTTTGGGGTATACGATCTTGAAATATATACAAACAAGTCTGATGGTTGGATCGTTGAATGGTGTGTGTATATATATATTTATTATCTTATTAAGTAGCTTTAAATTTATTTATTTTGTACGTATAACACTTAAGAAATTGAATAGTATATACATTTATTAAGTAGCTTTAACCTTATTTATATTTTAAATCGTAAAATAAAATGATTTTATTTTTTATTATTCATAACAATTATTTTTATAAATATTGTGCTACAAACCAATGTTTCGTCTCTCAAAAGTTTGCACGACCAACAGTTCGTCGCGCAAAACTCTAAAAATTTGGGCGGGTACAAAAAATGGGACGCGGGATTTAAAAATATATATATATATATATTTAGACTTTGCACGACCAATATTTTGTGTCGCTCAAAACTTTGCGCGACCAATATATATTTTTCGTCGTGCAAAAATTTGGGTGGGTACCAAAAATGGGATGTGGGATTTTTTATATATAATTTTTTTTAGACTTTGCGTGACCAATATGTATTTTTCGTCGCACAAAAATTTAAAATTTTGGGCGGGTACCAAAAATGGGACACAGGATTTTTTATATAATTTTTTTTAGACTTTGCACGACCAATATGTATTTTTTGTCGCGCAAAAATTTAAAAATTTGGGCGGGTATCAAAAATGGGACTTTTTACACTAATATTCATCGCGCAAAGTGATACGTTTTTAAAATGAAAATAACTCCTCCACCATTTTCTCAATGTCTTTCTCTACTCTTACCTCTCCTCTCTCTTTCCCTCTCCCCAAATCCCACCATTTCTCTCACACTCACTCCTCTCACTTAATCTCTCATCATCTCTCTCTTCACTATCTCTCACTCTCACTCACTCTCTCATCTCTCTTTTCACTATCTCTCACTCTCACTCACTCTCTCATCTCTCTATCACTATCTTCTCTAATTCTCTCACACTCACTTCTCTCTTTCATTCTCACTCACTCTCAATCTTGCCAAGAGGTATATTCTCTCCAAATTTTAAATTTTTTTCATTAATATGTGTTTTTGGAGTTAGTTTTGAGTTTGTGTGGGGTTTGGGGTTGAGTAAAGGGGAGGGATTGGAGTTTGGGTTGGATTTGTGGTATAACAATTTTAGGGGAGATTATCCCTTTTTTTTCGCGACCAATGAAAAAACTTCGTCGCGCAAAGTCTTTTTTCACGATCTTTGCGCGACGGATTCTGCGCGACAAAGTTTTTGTCGCGCTAAAATTTGTGTGACTACAATATATTTTGCGCGACGAAATTCTCTTCGTCGCGCAAAGTATAAAATGTAGTAGTCTGTGTTCACGTCCATCGGGCAACTACCCGTCTTGCAGGTGCCGGTACCGCCTTGTGGAGTCACAGACATGGGCAAGTTGAAGCCATCAACAAGACTAACGTCGTAGTAATCTTGTCCTCCGCCTGCTACAATATTCAATTCCGCTAAAGTTGCCGGCGGAATGGCACCGTTACCGTTGCACGAGACCTGACCAGAGGCACAATCTGCGGTGGCGCAGACGAACTTTCCAGAGGCATCCGCGGAGCATCCAGTTTGGGCCCAAAAGCGGCCATTCCATGGCACCGGAGTGTATAGCTGGAAGCTAGCTTGGGATGCTAACTCGAACCCTGTGGTTGGTAATTGAAGTTTCCCATAGGTTAGGGTTCCTGGCCAGACCGTGTAAGGGGAATTGTTTTTTAATGAAATTGTCGCTGCATGTGCAACTGCCATGCAAAGTAAACCACACTTAATTTGATGCAGTAATCACAAACCACACTTATTGTGACCAAATATTAAATTAAAACTTTAAGAAAATAAGAAGCTTGTTTACCTCCGAAGGAAAGGATGGTTAAGCTGAGGCTGAGGACTACTACTAGGGTCTTCATCATCGGAATGTCTTAGTTTGCTTTGCTTCGAATTTGATGAACTTGGGCTTTAATTATAAGGGCTTTCATCGGAAACCATGGAAGGACTTTTGCCAGCTAGGTTGAACTTAGCCATTGTGGAAAGCAGAAAAAGGGAAGAAAATTAAAGCAAATGCAATTGCCTTGCGTCTAAAACTTTTGAGGTCCCTTCTTTATAGACCAAGTCACAGCCTCATAAGTAGATGAAGTCATAACTGATCAGGGTCTTCTTCCACCTTGTTAATTTACTTGGAGTCTTCTTCCACCTTTCCAAGTCTTTTTTATCACCCCCATAATTTGGAGCTTCTGGCACGCACATTAATTGAACATGTTTTGGTCAAGATCTTTGTAAGCTTCACATTACAAAGAAGTTAACGTCTTTTATACGGTATTTGGAGCTTCTAGCACGCACATTAATAGTGCAATTTTTCCCTTTTGCCCTTTCAACTAAAATAATGATTATTGAAGTGAAATTTTCCTGTCCTTTTCAATATCATGTCAACAATAGTATTATTTGAAGTCTTTATATCAGTCCAATTTACATTTGAATAGACAATTCAAAATTGAAGTCTAATTTCCTGTCCCTTTCAATATCATGTGAACGATAGTATTATTTGAAGGTTGTCCTCTTGTTTATATTTATTTATTTATTTTAATTTGTCAAAAGCGTAGAACTTGTTAGTATTGATTTTGTGATTGGCATTCCCTAGATACCAAATAGACTAAGTATAGATGGTAAATTAGTTGTGATGGTGGCTGTCTAAATTCCAAGATATGCTCTGAAGGCTCATATGTCGACCGACGATCACTGAGGTAAATTCTTCATTCAATCATGCATCCTGATTGTGGTATTTCAAGCATTATTTCAATATCACAATCTAATTAACATCATGATTAAGAAGACTTCTTATTTTAAGAAAGATTGATTTATTTTATAAATTGATTTCCAGTTTTGAACTCCAGCACACCACGAAGACGATGAGAAACCTCGACGACCAAACCAGCGCCAATTCCACAGAGAATGTTGTGACTGCAGACCAAAGCCTTATTTCCTAACCAAACACGAAGGGACTATGCAACTACTATATGAGTTGAACTTGAAGGCCTGTTTGGTGGACTGGATTGGATAAGACTTTTTCAATTAAAATGGATATAGGTCTAATATGTTGTTTGGTGGGCTTAATTGCATCACACACTGGCTTGGACTTAAATTCTTGTTTAGGATATGAATCCAGCATACGCTGGATATCAAAACCCACGTAGAGACATGGGTTTCGAAGACTACCTCTCGTCGTCTTCTTCGTTCGCTTCATCTCCTCTGCGTCATCTCCAGCGTCCTCTCCTCAGCGTCGTCTCTAATGTCCTCTCCTCAACGTCGTCTCCCTCAGCCACTTCTGGTCGTCTCTGCTCTCTCTCTCCTCTCCTCTCTCATCTCTCATCTCTCATCTCTCATCTCTCTTCTTCTCTCATCTCTTCTCTCTTTTGATTTTTCTTTTTTAAAATCTGATTTCTTTGTTTGTTCTTCATATTTTTCTAAGTTAGATATTGAGTGCTGTAGTTTTTTGGGTTTGATTTCTTTTGATACCTTTCATTGAAGATCTTTCAGATCTGTTCCCATCTAGAATTTGCATAATTTTATTTTTTGTTTGTATTTTCTATGATCTGAAAGTTATGTTGTAGATTTTTTTTCTTTTGTTTCAAATTACCATTTTGGTTTTGGTCTACAATCTTTTCTCTCGAATAATAAAAAAGATAGATTTGCTTATGATAGAAAAAGAATGACCATTTTTCTTTTTCTGGTTAAAAATATGAATTTGGGTGGTTTACTATTTTGATATTGCTCCAGCGTGGGTTGATTCCTTTATGCTGGATGATCTGCTTGGTATTAGTAGAGCTCGTCTTGCTGGATGATCTGTTGTTGGGGTTTACCTTTCCTTGCCAAAAAGAAAAGATGAAGTTTATCAGATAAAGAAGAATTAGATTAGAAAAAAAAAAAAAAAAAAAAAAAAAAAAAAAAAAAAAAAAAAAAAGAGATGAAGAAAGAAGAGGAAAGAAGAAAAAAGTAAAGGCAAAAATGATGCAAAAAGTTGATGAAAAAAATAGGCAATTTTGGATTTTGGAATTGATTTATTATATAATAAAATAAAATAAAATATTGATTTATTAAAAAAAATGTTAATTTTAGTCTATTGTTTGGTGCAAAAATGAATAGGACTGGACTCAAAGCCGAGTAGTAGCCCAATTCAATGCTTCAAAGCCCATCCTAACCAGTCCAAACCAGCCCACCAAACGGGGCCAAAACCTCTTAGAACCAGCTATAAAATTTTTTTTTTTTTTTTTTTTTTTTTTTTTTTTTTTTTTTTTTTTTTTTTTTTTTTTTTTTTTTTTTTTTTTTTTTTTTTTTTTTTTTTTTTTTTTTTTTTTTTTTTTTTTTTTTTTTTTTTTTTTTTTTTTTTTTTTTTTTTTTTTTTTTTTTTTTTTTTTTTTTTTTTTTTTTTTTTTTTTTTTTTTTTTTTTTTTTTTTTTTTTTTTTTTTTTTTTTTTTTTTTTTTTTTTTTTTTTTTTTTTTTTTTTTTTTTTTTTTTTTTTTTTTTTTTTTTTTTTTTTTTTTTTTTTTTTTTTTTTTTTTTTTTTTTTTTTTTTTTTTTTTTTTTTTTTTTTTTTTTTTTTTTTTTTTTTTTTTTTTTTTTTTTTTTTTTTTTTTTTTTTTTTTTGTTGTAGTTGTGGAAGGAGAAGTGGGGCGTGGGTGTGATGCTGGTGAGAGGAAAGTGGTGCCTCTCGCTGAAGCGTCTCTGCGGATTACATAGTAGGACCGTGGGGGTGAGATGGGATGTGATATGGGTGTGTGTGGTAGCAGGGGGATGTGTGTGAACTGGTGGGGAGCTTGAGGGATGTGGGCGGGGATCACGCGCGGTGAGGGTGAATAGGGAAGGGCGTTCATGTGGTCGGAGCTGGGAGCACGCGCTGGCAGGGTAATGGGAAGGGAGGTAGGGGGGGTCAGGCGGAGGATAGTTGGTGGGGCATGGGAGGGGGGGTCGCGTGGCGTTGGGGGTGCAGGGCAGGTTGTGTTTTCTTAATAGGGTTTTGGGATCTTGAAAATAAACTGGATATCGACGCTTTTCAGGCATACGACGACGGTTTTTACTTTAAACCGTCGTTTTTATTACTTATACACGACGGTGTTATTTAACTACCGTCGTGGTTATAATTAGACGACGTAAAATCCGTCGTCTATATATGTCAAATACGTCTGTTTTTGTTTAAAAACCGTCGTCTCTGTTGTATATTACTTGCTATTAGACTTTATATAATCTGCTATAGTGATGGTCATTGCTTGTCTTTTCACTTTATTATATATAATAGGGTATAGTGTCGGAGATGGATAAGTCATGGATGCACTCGGATAGAAGATCGAAGGCATATGAGTTAGGGGTGGAAGCATTTTTGAACTTTTCTGTAGAAAATCTTCTAACTACCACACATATCCGTTGTCCATGTGTTAAATGTGTTAATTTGAAATTGTTTGGGGTTGGAATTATAAGGGATCACTTATACTTTAATGGAGTTGACCAAAGCTATAAGAATTGGACATTTCACGGAGAACCTTGGGAAGCAGCTACTAATGCTAGTAGAAATGTTGAAGAAGATGATGACCATAGTAGGTACAGTTTTGTGTCTGAAGAAATAGAGATGGATGATAATGATTTTGGTGATTTTGGATCTGATCCTTATGAGTTTGCCAATGTGATTGGGGATGGAGATCAACCATTGTACCCTGGTTGTAGAAAGTACACGAAGTTATCGGCATTAGTGAAGTTGTATAATTTGAAGGCAAAATATGGGATGAGTGATGTCTGTTTTACAGAATTATTGATACTTCAAGGCGATTTGCTTCCAGACGGAAATACAATACCGGCCTCTATGTATGAGGCAAAAAAGACTTTGTGTGCATTGGGGCTGAGTTATGAGAAAATGCACGCATGCCCCAATGATTGCATCTTGTATAGGAAGGAGTATGAGGATTTAACTCATTGTCCTAATTGTGGTATCTCAAGGTGGAAGGAAGGCAAAGATTCAATCTTGAAAGAGGGTGTGCCAGCGAAGGTGGTGTGGTATTTTCCTCCAATTCCAAGGTTTAAAAGGATGTTTCGATCACATGAGACCGCTAAGAGTTTGACTTGGCATGCTGCTAGAAAATCAATTGACGGTTATATGTCTCATCCAGCGGATTCCCCGTCTTGGAAACTTCTTGATGATAAATGGCCCGAGTTTGGTAATGAGCCGAGAAACTTGAGATTGGCTCTTTCATCTGATGGATTCAATCCCCACAGTTCTCTAAGTAGCAGATATAGTTGCTGGCCAGTTATCTTAGTTACATATAATCTCCCTCCATGGCTGTGCATGAAACGAAAGTTCATGATGTTGACCTTATTGATTTCCGGTCCTAAACAGCCCGGAAATGATATAGACGTCTACTTGGAGCCTTTGATTGATGATTTAAAATCTTTGTGGGATGGGATTGGAGGAGTGTATGATGCACATAATGGAGAATACTTTACACTCAGAGCTGCATTAATGTGGACAATTAATGATTTCCCCGCCTATGGAAACTTATCTGGTTGTGTTGTTAAAGGATATAAAGCTTGTCCAATATGCGGCGATGATACACCTAGTCACAGGTTGAAAAATGGCCACAAAATTTGTTACATTGGGCATAGAAAATGGTTACCGATCAATCATCCATATAGGAGGCAACGTGCAGCTTTTAATGGGAAACCTGAATATGGCACGCCTCCTGAGCCATTAACCGGAGAAGAAGTGCTGCATATGGTTGAAGATGGTGACAGAGTTTGTTGGAAGAAGAAATCAATATTCTTTGATCTCGAGTATTGGAAATACCTTCCTGTGAGGCATGTCCTAGATGTTATGCACATTGAGAAGAATGTTTGCGATAGTATCATTGGTACATTGCTGGAGATCCCTGGAAAAAATAAAGATGGGATTGCTGCTCGATTAGATTTATTGAACATGGGGGTCAAAACTGATTTGCAACCCGAGTATGGAGAAAGACGTACTCGTTTGCCTCCCGGGCCTTGGAATTTGTCAAGAGCAGAGAAGAGAGAGGTTTGCAATTCTTTCTATGGTATGAAGGTCCCTGAAGGTTATTCTTCAAATATAAAAAATCTTGTATCTTTACAAGATTCAAGACTTCTTGGCCTTAAATCACATGATTGTCATACCTTAATGCAACAATTGCTCCCTGTGGCAATTCGTTCTGTTTTGGAGAAGCCTGCAAGGTATGCAATAACTCGTTTGTGCTTCTTCTTCAATGCTATATGTGCAAAGACTGTTGATGTTTCCAAGCTAGATAAGTTGGAAGAAGATGTAGTAGTTACTTTGTGTTTGCTTGAGAAGTACTTTCCCCCTTCATTCTTTGATATCATGGTTCATCTAGTAGTACATCTTGTCAGAGAAGTTCGTCTGTGTGGGCCAGTATATTTTAGATGGATGTATCCGTTTGAAAGATATATGAAAGTGTAAAGGGGTAGTTCAGAATCGTACTCGTCCCGAAGGTTGCATTGCTGAGCGGTATATAGCTGAAGAAAGCTGTAGAGTTTTGTACCGGGCATTTATCTGATGTTAGTACAGTTGGAGTGCCTTCAAGCCAAAAGATGGGAGTTTCAAAGCCATTATCAGGTTGCACAGTGAGCGTAGTTGATCGGGACCTGTTGAACCAAGCACATCTATATGTCTTGGAGAATACGGAGGAAGTCCTACCTTATATCGAGTACGTAGAGTTTTTTCTTTAAGTTCATTATTAAATTATTTCTTAGTTTTTAATGTTTGGGACCGTATACTTGAATTTTGTGTGTGCATGTAGGCAAACAGTATGAATCCCACATCCTAGACCGCTTATCCAAAATTTAGAAGGAGAACAAATGGTGCAGGATAAGCACAATAGCCTTTCATTCAATGGTACGCTTCAAGGTATATGTTATTGAATAACATATTGGACTTTTAATTTTCTTCTTTCTATGTTAGATTGAATTAAGTTATGATTAATTTGCAGGTTCAAAGTGAACTTAATGAGGAAGACAATCATGGCGTATCAGAAAATTTAAGGTGGCTAGCAGCTGGTCCAAACATGGCAGTGCCATTATATAGGAGCTATCTCATTAAAGGTATTAAATTCAACATCAAGGCACAAGATGATGTGCGGACAACTCAAAATAGTGGAGTTTATTTACGCACATACTATGCAAGTTGCTAGTGCCAAGGATAAAAACCCAATTCTCTCAAATATGGGTTTCTATGGTGTCATTCAAGAAATTTGGGACCTTGACTACCAAAAGTTTACAATCCCAGTCTTTAGGTGTGATTGGATTGATAATACTTCTGGTCTTGTAGTGGACGAACTTGGATTTACCCTTGTAGATTTGAGTAAAATTGGACATAGGAATGACCAATTTGTTTTGGCTTCTCAAGTCAAACAAGTATTTTTTGTTGACGACCCGATGCATCGTGGTTGGTCGGTAGTGTTATCAATGCCTAATAGAGAATATAATGATGTTATTGGTGATGATGTCTTAGGTGATGTGAGAATTGAGTGTGAGCCATTTACTAGGGGGATGCCAAATGTTGACACATTTGATGAAGTGGTGGTTGAGTTAGGGAGTCAAAATATTCGAGATGGGTGTGAAGATATATGGGTTGAATGATGCTTTATGTAATTGGCAGTGTATGACATTAATTTTGTAATATATTGTAATGTGATTTCTTCACTTTCATTATACAGGTTTTGGCCACAAAACAATCAGTACAAAAATTACTGGTTCCAGATTACAAACACGACGGTTTTGATAAAGAACCGCCATGTAATTCAATATAACACGTCTCCAATCCCATAACACCGACGTCTAAAAGACGAGAACTTTAACCTGAACGTTACAAAAGACGACGTCGTCATGAATTTACCACGTCGCATGTTCTTTCATAAACGAAGTGGAAAAGGATGAATTCACGACGGTATTTGAAATCCATTAAATTTGTCGACGTTAAGATTTATGAATTAGACGACGTTAATTTTTTAATAAAGACGTATAAATTATTAAACACGACGGTCTTTTTCATGGTACCGACGTTGTATATAAACGACAACGTCGTCCTCATAAATTACTGTGTCGTAATTAATGACCCCATCATTTTTTCCACGTCGTTTATTTTCAAAATATGACGCATAAATTCTGTAATACGGCTCTCATTTATTTGGAACCGACGTTGTTTATTCATTTCAACGTCGTCTCAGTAAATACATACGTCGTAATTAATGAACCTGACATCTATTTCCACGTCATAATTCGTAGAAAAATCGAAGTGGAAAATTTATTTTACGACGGTATTTGAAGTCCATTAAACTTGTCGACGTTAAGATATATGCATTAGACGACGTCAATTTTTTAAATGAAGACGTATAAATTATTAAACACGACGGTCTTTTTCATGGTACCGACGTTGTATATAGACGACAACGTCGTCCTTATAAATTACTGTGTCGTAATTAATGACCCCATCATTTTTTCCACGTCGTTTATTTTCAAAATATGACGTATAAATTCTGTAATACGGCTCTCATTTATTTGAAACCGACGTTATTTATCAATTCAACGTCGTCTCTGTAAATACATGCGTCGTAAGTAATGACCCTGAGATCTATTTCCACGTCATAATTCATAGAAAAATCGAAGTGGAAAATTTATTTTACGACGGTTGTGGGAAATGTTGTGACGTAGTAGGTGTCAATAACGTCGTCTATTATTATTGTAAAGACGTCGTATTTATATTTGTCGTTAAATATTTGTTTAACGGCGTCAAGTTTAAGTTCTCGTCGTTGTATGTTTATCTTGCGGCCATGTTCTGTTAATATATGTCATCTGTTTCCTTTTTAACGACGTTTTTTTGTTGGAGTTGGTCGTCTATTCTCATCCTCGACCCTTTTTTTTATGTCTTTTTGCAGCACAAAGACGTCGGTTTTTATTTTTTGATGACGTTTTTTGTTTTAACAACGACGGTTATTCACCGTCGTGGTTTGGTTATGGAAAAGATGTCGGTGGATTCCACGACCATTTGAAAACATAATACACGACGGTGATTTACCGTCGTGTTTTTCCTTTTTTGTAGTAGTGTATCAACAACCTTCTCCATTTCAGGGTCCTTTTTCCTACTCTTTTTTGGTCTCCCTGGTTGTTTTTTAACAATTGGAGGTAAGAGTTGTCTTTGATTTGACTTTGGCCACATGTTAAAGCCCTTCACTGGATGAATCATTGGCTCATAAGCCTTCAAATAAGTGTCCTTAATATAGCATGAAGCTACATAATCTTCTGGACTACCCCTATAAAGATATATGGTAGCAACAACATGAATGCAAGGGATACCATTAAGATCCCATCTCATACAAGAGCATGTCTTCAATGCCATATTTACCACATGTTGATCATGTAAGTACTCTCCCACTTGATATTCAAATGCTCCAGCTGCTATTGGCATACAATTCCTAGCCGTAACATCTTTTGAATTTTAGGGCAAATGACCCCCTCATGTTTTGCCATAGCAATCCTCTTCACTTCCAACCTTTTCATTAGGTTACACCTTATCATTTCTAGCATGGTCAATATAGGTTTATCTCGGGCACCCAAGATGTAGCTGTTAAATGTTTCACACAAATTATTTAACAACATATCACATTCAAGGGTAGTGCTAAACCTATGTCTAGCCCACTTATTTAGATCTTTCCCCATCAACCAATTATAAGCACCCCCATCCATCTCTTTTAGCTTATTCATCTCAACCTCAAAGTCCTGGCTATTGGGAGCCCTAGCTGCACTCCATAAAAGATCTTTCAATCCCTTGCCCTTATACTTTTCCTTGAAGTTCCCACACATATGCCTAACACACCACCTATGTTGGGCTTGAGGCACAACAATATCAAAGGCTTTGTCCAACCCCTATATCAGTTATAAGCATATTCACATTATAGTTGTTCTTGAATATATATTATATTAATAATCAATAAAACCATATGATATTCATAAGTTTATTCAAAATAATAAAGAATAAAGAATAAACTTAAACCATTATGCATAAATTATAAGCTCACCTTTTGTTGGTCTGATATGAATATCCATCCATGGTCTTCTACAGGACCAAGATCATCCATAGCAACTCCAAAAACCAGCTCCATGTCTCCTGAGTTTCCAACTCCATAGTAGCATATGCAATAGGGTACATGTTATCATTGGCATCAACATCCACTACAGCAAGTAATTGACTTATGAAAGAAAGGAGTTAAACTCACATATTATTGAAAATATCAATTAATATAAGTGGCTAATCTGAGTATTTATTTAAAGCATTTGTTGTAGTTATTACCTGAGAAAGGACCCTTCAAATGACATCCATCCACTCCAATGATGGGTCTGCAACCAGCCAGAAATCCTTTTTGCATGCATCAAGGCATACATAAAGTCTCTGCAAATGTGGAGGAGGCTCCACCCTTATCTTCATTGTGCTTCCCACATTTGTTGCTTTCACCTCATCACAATACTCCCACAACCTTGAGTATTGCTCCATGCAAGTCCCTTCTATTATTTTTTTGGCTTTCCTCTTAGCTCTAGAACATTGGCTATCTGAAACATCCTTAAGTTCCTCTTCATTGCCATCTTAAGATTTTTAATCGTAATATCAGGCTCATCCATGATACGATCTAGATACTTTTGAGCTATGTATACACAATTGACATGTGGGTTAGTAGGGTTTCGGACGCAAATGTGTTTATCAATAAAGGTCTTGATCTACAATGTTTCCTCTAGTTGCATATATGAAGCATGAAGCATCCAAGTGCAGTTTGTACATCTTGCAGTGATCCTCCTCTTATCATTTTTGACAAATTTTATTGAATAATTTCCCATCACTGCATAATTCTTAACAACTGTCTTCAAGATCTCCTTGCTTCCAAATAACATTCCTTTCTCAAGCTTGGGATTATTCAAATTAGACTTACAGAACTCTGGATACTTCCTCTTCATTTCACCATCCTCATATGAAGAGTGGTTAGGTGAGTTGAAAGCTTTTTCTGAGTTTGTATCTGAGTCTTCTTCATGATCAAAAGCCACAAAATCCTTAGGTAGATATGTATTTCCTACTCTCCCAAAACTAGATTGCATCTTTCCATCAAACAGGCTGTTGTCATCAATGGCAGCATCATTATCACTTTCATATATTTCTTTATCTAATTCATCACCACTGTCTTGAAGATCTCTTACTCTCCTCCTACCATCAACGTCAAAGTCTTTTTCACTATCCTCTTCATCATCAACATTGTCAGGTACCTCTATCCTATATTCATTGCCAATATTATGTCCATATACAGGCACTTCTATTGTTTCCACGTTGTCATTACCCACTTCTTGTCCACCTTCAAAGGAAATTTGTGAAGCTTGATTAAAAATATCATCAAAATATTCATCTGGAACCTCATCAAATGCTTCGACATAAGGAAATCATGGAGGGCCAGCATCTGAAAAATCAATGCCATGAGATTAAAAATATTGCTTTACTTTATGTGAATCAAAGCATTCAGAGCTATTAAATAACAAATGGCATAAATATTGCTTTACCCTATGCAAATAGTCGACCATTGTGTTTCCCAAACTCCCAATACACACACAATATTTTATAAAATTTCAACCACCATAGCAACAGAGCGAGCGTTGGAACCCACTTATATGCATTGAAAACTCGAATAAAAGAAAGTTATAAAACAATTTCGCACTGAAAACTGAACCTTTATAGATTTTGAGTTCACCTGGATTATTGAAGCCTCCATCGAATTCACCTCTCTTCTTCACCTCCATTGACTTCACCTCCCTAAACCCTATTGAAGTTCTGCTAGTCTTTTCGCACCCTCTCGTTGCACTTAATCAAAAGCCCAGATGAATTTCACTAAATTTTTAAGAGCCTTAATCCTAATCTGCTTCAAAATGGCCAATTTCGCACGCCCTAGGGAAGAGGAAGAGACAAGCTGCTTTGGAGTGACAAAATTGCCCCTCCACGTGAAGGGCACATGGTTACTCCGTTAAAGAAATTAACATAAATTTTAATATGTCCTTGAATTGCCTCAAATATGAAACTACAGGGTCAAAAGTGACGAAATTGAAACTACAAGGTCAAAAGTGGTTGAAGTGCCAAACTACCGGGACCAAAAGTGACTTTTGGCCTTTTAAAAACCCAGATTTTCTTCCCTCTTGCGACCACCATGACTAGCCAACTTCAGACAGAGATTACTCCCAACTCCGGCCATCGTTTCAGGCAAGACTGGTCCCAAACGAACCACCTCACTTCCCTCTATCGCCGAAAACAGCCACGACACAGGCCGGTTCCAATAGTTTTTCTGAAAATTTTCGAGAGCACGTTCTCTCACTTCCGGCCACCATTTCCGTAAATCGATTAGAAATCGATAAAAGAAAAAGTAAGTGGACCTAACCCATTGCATCATAATTATATCCACTATTCTGATATTAAAATTCGATAGAGATGAAATTTGATCTTTTTTTTCTTTGGACTACGCGGGAATCTGTCGATATATCCGATTAAATCCAATCCAGATATGCTTTCTCAACCTCTCAAGATGCTCTAGCTGCTGGTTGTGTTGGATAGGAGAAATTTCTGAGTTTTGGAGGGTAAATAAGCGATTGAAAATTTGCCAGTTTTTGGGCTCCAATTCCAGCCACTTCCGTTGACTTTTTGCGGTAGGTCCGAGAACAAAAATTGCTCTACTCTATGTGGTGATCATGTAGGTATAAGTTTTGACCGGCGGTTTGGAGATTTTCCAATTGCCGGAATTGCTTTGGACACCCACGTGCTGTCGGCTCATGTGGCTGCACGTGGGCCACTTTTTGGTCGGTTCTTGAGTCCTAAAATAATCCTCATGTCATCCCGAGCACGACGGTATGCTCGGATATGAATTTGGTTACCCTTCGACTGTCAATCAGATATCTCATATTAGGCGTTATCCTGGTTCGATATGTTCGGGCTGTTGGATCGACTCCGATTTAATATATGTTGATCTAGGCATTCCTAGGATCGTGTAGGAATTCGCAGATCGTGAATCGGAGCCCGTTCCGATTCAATAATTTAAAGTTTAGTTTAACGATAACCGTCCGATTGTACTATCGCGAGTGAACCGACCGTCCGATTTGAACCAAACTTACAGAGCATGTTTAGTAAAGTGTGTTGACCAAGTTTGGGCAATTTGACCCCTCGGATGACCGTGAGTCTTCTGAGGTAGTTTTACCCTTCGAGACATACTAGAACGACCCTGGAAACAAGTCTTGACCAGTAGTCGAGTTATTCTAATTATGTTGAGATTGGGAAATTGTTTTATAGTATTTTATGGAAATTCTTGGTTATCATATTGATAATTGAAGTTATGGGATTTTCTTTAAAGGTTATTACTTTTCATTAAATGATATTATTATGATCATAAATATAGTATATGGATTGGGTAGTATTGGGTTATGTATGGAAGTATAATGTTTAATTGTGGGTTACGGTATATTACGGAATACATGTGAAAACAAGTATTGAATTCTATTTGAATTATTATGGCATTAATTTCATGGATTAAATTACCATGCTATCTATTATGGATTTATATGATTATGGAGTGAGTGTGTATGTTTATATATATAGATCGCTAAATTATGCATATCTCTATTATTTTGTATTTGGAAGTGTATTATAGTATGTGATGGTACACCTAAATGTTATTTCGATATTTGGAGATTATGCATTGTTGGAATTGATGGAATCTCTAGGAGTAGTGATTATTTATATATTTATTTATTTACCTAATTATTTATTGTTATTAAGATTATTATTATAGTATCAGATTGGTGTGTTAATCGGAGTTCGATGTGATTAATAAATAACTAAATATTTTAGTGCATGTCTATATTAATACATATACTCAGTAGTTGAAAATGATGAATTATGGACACTAGTTCTCAACAGTATGTAGTGTAAATTTCAAGGTAGTTGAGAACTGGTTTCTGGTAAATTTCAAGTGGAATTTCAAAATAAGTTTCAGAATATGGTTTTTAAACCCACCTCAAGAGTATAAGGCCCCCCCTCCTGGGTTGCCCTTGAAACATGCCCCACGAGTTTCGGAGACACCTGAACCGTGTGGTGCGAGAAATGCGGCACAGGCTGACTAATGGTCCCTGAGGCTTGTGAGGAATGTAGCTCGGTTAACTTTGTGTTTCCGAGGCCTACGAGGATGGAATTGACGGAATAATATTGGAATTGACGGAATACGGATGGGGGTACGTCCAGGTGGAGAGTTTTCTAAGTTTTAAGGATTTTATACAATTCACAATTAATTTCTTAAGCGATGAGTTTGTTTTATAAGTAAAAGATGAAAATATGTGTTTCAGTTAAGTTGTTGTTATTGACATTAACATTTTACATAGTCAATGTTATTTTAATAATTCTCTCATTTTCTTACTTATCTGTAATAATTTAATTATAAATCCTTATAGATATATATGTAATTATAATTGGGTTTTATGTGAGTTTTGAAGGAAAGGTTATAAGTGTCTTCAATGGTAGAGGAAGTCCAATGAGTGGACTTTTGTTTTATAAATGATTTTATGTAATTAAAGTTTTATTATTTGATCTTGAATGAGTTATTATGAATTTTACTTTCCAAGCATGATTGTTTGATTTCGAATATTTTTATTATATTATGTTTATATTTAAGTTGAGCATGGTTTGGAAAGTAGGAAGGATAGTGGCAATACATAAGGAGTAATGCTACACTTACCACATTTATATCCCACATTTTCATACCATCTTATGTGGCAGATGAAATGGACAATTACATCAATTAAAAAGTGTCAATAAATCATAAAAGATAAGAAAACTTTAAATTAATTTTAATTGATGTATTGTCCACCTCATATGCCACATAAGGTGGTATGAGAATGTGGTATACAAATGTGGTAAGAGTAGCATTATTCATACATAAGTGCAGTATAAAAAGAGAAGAATAATACTAGTCTTTCCACATTTTTTATACCACAATTTTATACCACATGATGTGGCGGCTGATGTGTACATACCACATCATGTAAAATACTAGTTTTTGTTTTTCTAATTTTCTTTATTAAAATACACTTCATTAATTTAATTGATATGGCATATGATATGGACATGCCACATCATGTGGTATAGAAATGTGGGATAATAATGTGGTAAGTGTAGCATTACTCAAAAGAGAAAGAACTACGTGTGGCTTAATCCCTTGTTAAGGTACGTAGGCAACCTAGAGTTTCTAGGTGCAGCCGCGAGACCAAAGGGTTGGAAAAGCTGTTTAGTTAAATTATTTTGAAATCTATTACTGTATTCATGTTGTTTCAAAAGTTTGGTATTGTTTCTGTTGGCATAACATTTATTTGAATCAAAGGGGCCTGAGGCCATTTAGTTCTGATGTTGGATTGCTGAAATTTTATGTTGATGCATGCTGAATGGTTGGGATATATGTATATATATTGTTTTTTTTTTGTAAAGGTGGAATATTTTGGGAAATGAGCAATTTACAAGGGAGACTCTGCCGAATTTTTGGCATAAGTCAAACTTGAAGTAAATTGGTGTTTAGTTAGATGGGCAATTTGGTCATTTGTGCCAGTACCTGCCAGGTGTCTGACATGGATAGAGTTCGGCTCAGATTCCAAAATAGAATTTGAGTCAGGTCCTGTCATGAACTGCAATTCATATTAATATTAATCTCAATAAAAATTATGAACTTTGTTTATATATTAACATATAACTGAAACTTCAGGTTCGAGTACATATATCAAATTTAAAAAGAATATTTGGTTTTGAACTTCATATCCAAATTTGTATTAATATGATATTGTTCAAGGTAATAAAATAAAACGATAATAATTTTTAAAAAAAATTAAAAACATGAAATCCAAATAATGTTGAAACTTCACATTCGTAACATGATGTATATTTTTTAGCCCAAAATCATAATACATATGCACTTGTTGAAATATCAATTTGGAGGTTGACACAATTAGAAGTTCAAGTTCTATAATTTACCTATTTTAATGCACATGTGGCCGAAACTTATAGTTTAGATTAGACATAATTAGAACTTTGGGTTCTAAGATTTTTGAACTTCGGTTCATATTAGGAACTTCAGGTCCTTAAATGTAAATTATTGAAATGAAAACAAATAACTGAATATAACAAGAAAAATAAAATAATAATTAAAATATTGAAATAAAATAAATTGTTGGAACTTCTAATTCCAATTAAAGAAAAATCAAAGAACTCCAAGTCTTGATTTGCTTTTTGAGAATTGCATAATTCCAAGTTCGTGTATAGATATATTATATGGATTGAGAACTATGAGACTTTAGGTCTTTATTTAATTATATAAGAACAATTTAGGGAGTTCGGGTCCTTGTATAAAATAAAAATGAAACCAAAGAAAATAACTAAGTAAAAATAAAATACAACAAAAATTAAAATATTGCAATAAAATAAATAATTGAAACTTCTGGTTCCAATGAAAAATGAATCAAAGAGTTTCAGTGCTTCATTTGCCTTTTAAAAATTGGGGAACTTCAAGTCCACAAATATTTATATTATAAGGATTGAAATGTAAGGATCTTCTGGCCCTTACATGATTGAATAAGAATTGAGGAACTTCTTGTAACATCCCATATCGACCAACGGAGAGGGGGTGATGTGCCTTATATGTACATGCCCGCCTCCATCTAGCACGAGGCTTTTTGGGAGCTCACTGGCTTCGGAGTCATTGGAACTCTGAAATTAAGCTAGTTGGGGCTAGAGCAATCCCAGGATTGGTGATCTACTGGGAAGTTGCTCATGAGCTCCTAGAAACAAAACCATGAGGGCAAAGAGGGGCGCCTAAAGCAGACAATATTGTGCTACGGTGGAGTTGATCCCGGGATGTGACAGTTCTAGTCCTCCATTAGTTGTATAAGAATTGAGATTCTTGAGTCTTTTACTTTGAATGAAAATCTTTGGTTTTTGACAAATAACAAAATACAATTGAAATCTTGTAAGTAGACAAACAAGATAGATATTTATAATAAAAATAGAAATTCATCATAACTCATGCATATGTAAATGAGAAATATAATAAAACAATTCTTTTCTATTTGGAATCTTCTCATTCAACTTCTTTCCATTTGATAAGCCTATGTAACAAGAGCTTTCATACTTGAGACGAAACTATGCTATCTCAAGTGGTTAGAGACTCGTGTTGATAATGTGTTATGTAACTAAAGGAATTTGTAGAGAAAAATGAGGAGTAGAGGAAGACAATAGAAATTAGTCTCTAGAACTTGTCATCTTCTTCTTTGATAATCACCTATTTATTGGCTTACAAATGTGTTCACCCGTTTTTTATTTGTTCCTGTGATAGTAGGGTAAAGTTCCCCATTGTCTTGAAAACCA